CGCTCTAGAGAAAATATGCAAAAAAAGAACAAGAAAAACATCGCCCGAAATTCATCAGAACCTGAGAATGGCAACATGTTGCCGTTGTTGCCTTTGTTGCCATTGTTGCCATTGTTGCCGTTGTTGCCATTCTCAGGTCGAACCCTCTTTACAAATTGCGATGTAAAATTAATGAAAGCGTCAAACAGAAATCTGAAAAACAGGAATTGAAGAGCTGACGATTCTCTACAAGACGGTTTTATTTTCAAAAAATTTGGATGAGAAATTCAGGAGAAAATGTCATTTGAAGGAAACTGGAAGGTTGCAATTAGAATGGGTCTGAGACCCATTATTCTATAATATGCCTAAAATGGGTCCAGGACCCATTATTCGTATAATAAGCGTAAAATGGGTCTAAGACCCATTCTAGCTATAATTTTCGTAAAATGGGTCTGAGACCCATTCTAGCTATAATATTCGTAAAATGGGTCTATTCTTTGAAATTTTCAGTTTTATTCGGATATAAAAATAAATGAAAGAAAAAAGATAAATATCAGAAAAAATTAATCATATTTTCGGACAACCTTTCCAAGGCAATCAAAAACACTTTTGAAACAGGGCTCTTTTGCTGAGCGAAATTTAAATTTCGCGAGAATTGCATGTGTAGCCCGGGAAGTTCGCAGTGTCTGCTTTGATTTGTTACGAGCGGCTTTCTTACGGTCCATATTGATAAGAAAGGAGAGAGATTGATCGAAAAACATCTTTTGATCAGCATGATCTTAGTGGAAACGTTAACATTTCCTGCTTTCTTAAGCATAGATCGGTACTCTCTGTTATTTCGTTCGATCGAATTCGTCGTCCGATCAATGAAATCACCTCCTGAGCTACGCAATTCCTCAAACCAGCTGAGATACGCTGAATCGGCCTCAAACCGACCGATTGCAGTTTCAAAAATTGAATCAATATCAATTTTTAATTTTAAATTCAGAGCATCCGTTTCTTTCATTTTCTCTTGATCAAGAGAATCATAGGCGACAAAAGTTGCAGATCTTGCTTCTTCGCGCATCCATTTTAAAAACAAAACACTAAGATCGCTTGGCAAAAGAGGACACATTGAAATAGCTGAATAAAATTCACAAAACAATGGACTCTCTTCCAGAAATTTTTTGTGACTGGAAAACCATCTCCGCGTATTTTGCCTGTAGTGAAAGAAACATGATAAAGTTGAATTAACTGCAAAAATATCTGAGGCCGATCCCCGGAGGGCCAACTCACGGTCAGTTAAAAGCAATCGAGCCCCAAGATCCTTGCCGGTTGCCTCACGAAAGAACTCATTGCAGTTTTCAAAAATCTCAGAATATGACTCAGTAGTCTTCTTTGAATCAGGTTCTAAAGAGAAAGTAGTGTTCTAGTGTGATTGATAGAAGCGACATTGATGTGATCAGCTGACCCATTCATAAATAAGAACCCTCCTTTGAATGCAGCACGCAAATGCTTGTGGATCTTGACACGTATGATTGCCTTTTGTAGGAATTGTAAAGTGCACTTTCGCGCGCATTTTCTGGTAGAGAACTCAGTAGATTTTAATCCTCGCCTGACTGGCCAATAATTTCATATTGACGTCGATCGAGAATCAAAGGTGAGTCCAAGGTCAATTTACAAACACTACGAACAGCAGGGTTAGAAATGTAGCAGTGTAGTAATGTAGCAATGTAGCAATTGCTACATTTTTGCTACATGTTGATGTAGCAGGTGTAGCATGTAGCAGCGTTTAAAAACGTGTAGCAAAGGGTAGCTTGCTACATTGCTACATTTGTCTGGTGGCAAAGATTTTTGGTCACTTTAAGAAAATTCTAGAGCAGATTTGTTATTATCGACTCTAAAACAATGCTCATTAGCTAAGAAACAATCTAGTTTGACTTTAAAAATTTGGGAATAAATTCGATTTCGATTACGATTTGGCGTTAAATTCGAGGCGATAAAGATTTTTATGTAGCTAGTGTAGCATGTAGCAGCGGTTTTCTTTGAGGGGATGTAGCACGTGTAGCATGTAGCAAGGAATTTTTTGAGGGATGTAGCAAGTGTAGCATGTAGCAGCAATATATTGCTACATTTCAAACCCTGGACGAACAGTATCCTTCAATTCTTGATCTTTTCCACGTTTTCGTCGAATTTGTTTTTCAATAAAACTTATTTGAGGCGAAGGCTACAATTAATTAATATGTTTTATCGATCAAAAACTTACTTTAACAATCAAACGTTTTGAGCAATTAGCTGCATCGCAATCATAATATATAGAGCTAGCAGAAGGACTACTAAAACAGAAGCGATAAGCTCGATTATCATCGTCAACAATCAAAGCAGGATGTTTCCTTCGCGTTTTTACAATGGATTTTATTTGCATTAAATCCATATTTTCTCTTTTCTATTTAATGATTATTTCAAACAAACAATCTCGATCAGATCTAGAATTCTTACAGAAGAGTATCACGGATTGAAAGAGCTAAGCCGCGTCAAATATTATATTCCTCTCTGATAAATTTTTGTTGAAAAATAGACCCATTTTACGAATATTATAGCTAGAATGGGTCTCAGACCCATTTTACGAAAATTATAGCTAGAATGGGTCTTAGACCCATTTTACGAAAATTATAGCTAGAATGGGTCTTAGACCCATTTTACGCATATTATACGAATAATGGGTCCTGGACCCATTTTAGGCATATTATAGAATAATGGGTCTCAGACCCATTCTAATTGCATACTTCCAGGAAACTGGCACTAAGGATGCTCAACCTAAGATCACCGCAGTCAAAGTTGAACCTGGTCACACCACCGCCACAGCCGACGACGAAGAAGACGACTCCGATTCAGTCGAATCGCGCGAATCAAGCGAGCCCGAGCCCGAGGGAGCCCCAATCAAGGACCTTGCCAACTTTTGGAAATGATCAGCAGCAGGAACAACAACAACCAAATCGACAACAACAACAACAACCCAACAATAGTAAAAATTTATTCTACAATTTCAACGAGCCAACTGCTTACTCTCGACTCGATATTGCAAAAATGAAGCGGCGCAATGAAGTGCTTTCTCGCCACAAGCCGCTCGTCAAAAATTTCGGCGAAATCCCGTTGTCGCTACTGGACTCTACACTTGTCTTTATGCTGATATAATTGAGGCGTACAAAAACGATGCAGCTGTCAATTCGGGCTATCCATACATTTTGGTGGTGATTGATGGTTTGTCTCGGCAATCGTTTGTACGCCCCATGAAAACCAAATCATCGGCCGAATGCGCTCAGCTTTCGGGCGACATATTTTCCACGCTTGATTTACCTGGGCACACCATGTTTATGGCGGATCAGGGAAACGAATTCAAGGGGAAGTTGCGCTTCTGCTCGACGACTGGAACATGACGCCCGTAAAGTTAACCGGCGTAAAAGCTGCTCTTGCTGAGCGATACAAGTGCGTTGAATAATTGATAGTTTTTGCATGCATTTTTAATTTCTTAAATTCAAACGGTAAACTTAAGTCGCACGCTGGAAGATCGTTTGGAGCTCTACTTTGCATCGCACAACGGAATTCGCCGCTGGATACATATTCTTCAAGATGTCAACGTCGCTTACAACAATTCTGTTCATAGTGCAATTAATCGTGCCCCCAGTAGCGTTAATCGTGCAAATGCGCGCGAACTCTTTGACTATCTAGAACTCAAGCGCAAGTACGAAGAGCGTACTGGCAAAAGCTCCAAATATTTTATTGGCGATCTTGTTCGAATCCCCCTAGATACTTTACCTGCTGCTAAATCAACTCGTTTTAGAAAAGGGGCCCGCGCCAAGTGGACCAAAGAATTGTACGAAATTTTTGATATTCACTTTGGGACTTTTGAGCCAACGTACTCTTTGCGCGGTCCCCAGGGCCAAACTTTGCATCGCCGCTACTATGAACCCGAAATTAATTTTGTTAAAGACAAGACTGAAATTTAATCATTTTCATTACCTGTAACAATGTCGTAACAATGTTGTAAATGCGAGCTCAAAGTTTATTCAGTCAAGATTGGGGGAATAATCGCACTAAATGGCGCGCCGACGAAGGAGCAAGAAGAAGCAATCGCCGATTGCATTCCTTGTGACGACCCGAGGCAAAGTACTGTCTCTCTCGAAACGAGGAATTGTGTCTCGACCCAAGAAACGACCCAGCACCAAGCGACGAAGGCGAAGATGATTATGCTCGTGGCAATTTTGGTCACCTATATTGTCCTCGTTGTTTTCCGATTTATTGATTGTGCTCGTATATTGGAATATTTGAAAAAGCTTGTGTAACCCAGCTGTAATATAATGCGTTTAGAATGGCCAACGAAAATTATGGAAATCTCATGTTCTTTCGCGGAAGAAAGCGCGAACTAAAAGAAACTCTGGATCCGTACAAGGGCTACAGAGTGGTGTCTCGACTTGCAAAGGATGATTGCCCGGAAATTTTTCGCTTTGAAGTGCCCGACGACGGGTGTAGGGCGGCTACGTTCGAAATTTCGAACGCCGTTCGAGATTTTTCGAACGCCGTTCGAAAAATTTCTGAAATTGCTTATAAAAATGAGCTCGTATGCGCTCCGCGCCTGATTTGTAAGAAAACTCCTTCATAATGATGTCAACTTCATCTACTTACACGATGACATTGATTTAAGCTCATTCTTAGGTCAAGATTTTTCGGAAATTTCGAACGCCGTTCGAAAAATGGGCCCAAAACCGATTTCGAACGGGACCGCCCGCCACCCCCGACGACAAGCACAGCCTTAAATTATCTCAGTGCATGTTTGGCTGCAATTTTAAAATGCCCTCAAATTATGTACCCGATAATGATATTTTGAGGGGAAACAACTAAATTTGGTCGAGAATCGGCAACAGTTTGCCACCGAGCTGTGGGAGACGGCCGAGATAAAGCAAAAATTTGTCAAAGAAGACGGTAATGATATCTGGATCCCGTATGAGAGACTCTTTCACGAGTACGAAGTTCGGGCTCCGATTATGCACGGCTTGTGCAGACAAGGACGAGTGCTCCCAGCCGGCACGCGGGTACAAATCGAACTCACCATGAATGAACAATGTTATGCTATTATGCGACATTCCATGTATCAAAAGTGCCGAGCCAAAATGTCCCAGCTCGATCAAGTCAGAATGCCCCTTCCTGACGAAATTGAAACTTTTGAAAAAATATCGGGGAGCACACGAATTCGGGCCAATGCGATTGCGCTGAAAAATTAAAGGCTAAAAAATTAAACGGGTAATTGAAAAGTTCAACCCTGAAGTCTCTCCATACAGCGCCGACGAAGTCAACATCAAGGCAACCGACATCAAAACCAAGGCTGCCAATGGAACGGATTTAAAATGGTGGCGACCCCACGACATTATCGAAGACATGGTCAAGACAGAAGAAATTGAAGGACAAGAAAACTTTGCCGACGACGAAAAGATGATCTACTTTTTCAGGGAAAACAAGCTCAATGCAAAAGAACGACTTAATCCGCGAAACTTTTTGATGGAATCTGTCTTTTGCGATCCAAAACCGATTCCGAAAGACCAATTTCAACAGGGCGGGATGGTGAATGTGTAATTCCATTTTACTATCCGAAATTCACCCGAAAGACACTTGGAACTGGAATGAGCGAGTACGACATTGAGCTGAGCGCAGGACCTGTTCCCAAAATGATCATCTTTACAGGAATGCCCTATTCTCAAGCTAGTACAATGACATTTGAAAAGTGCATTTCAAAGACAACAATGGAGCACCCATCTTTTAAAATTCAAGAATTTACCATTTACATTGACGGGCAGCCTGCATATCGATCTCCTTGGTCAACTGCAACTCAGCACTACATCAACTTTATGAAGCACAATGGACGATGGGAGAATGCAGCTACAGCTAGCGGACTCGATTATTTTGTCTTTAAAGGGCAAAATTGGTTGGTGCCGCTCATTTTCGACAATGATGGCGAGGGGCAAACGGCACTTGTCACTGCAAAAATCAAATTTGCGGATACGCTTGTGCAACAATGGGATGCAATGATTATGCGATTGCCAGTGCGAGAGCTGTTTTTGGACGCCAAAGCTCGAGGTACTTTTTGCCCAGTTAATTCTACTTATTATTATTGTTATTATTATTATTCAGAGGCATCTGTGGTGGGAACCGCTCGAGTCATGAAGACGACGGCTTGTGGCACCAAACGAAGGGCCGAAACTATCCCACCGCCTCCCAAGGTTGCGCCCAAACGAAGACGAAAGGGCTAATTATTTATGTATACATTCAAATAAATGTTGTTTTATTGAAAAAAGTCTTTTTATTCAATTATTGAAAAAATGAAAGTTTCAAGGTTTTTAATAAATCGTGAAAAGCCTGAATCTGAAGGTGCTCGCAAGCGCCGTAATCGCTTTTGTATTCGAATCGTCAAGGCGAGAGATTTCGTTCGCGTGCATCCGACGACTCTTCTGACTCTGATGATGATGAAGGCTGCAAGACCAACTTTTTCCACGCAGTCAAGCTGGGAATAAATTGGCACCGTCTGTCTGGAGGTTAGCAGCCCAAAACAATTTCGCGCGCCTTGTGGGATAAAATTGTAACTGTCAATGTTGATGATTTGGTTGCCGAGTTTGGCACTCCAAAACGCAGCGATTTTCCTCGTATTGAAGAGCGACTCGGAATTGATCTCTACATTTTGTATTGGGGCCGCTATGCGCCTCTGGGAATCTCATATAGGCCCTACAGAACTTCTGGACCTTGCTGTATTCGAAACGCGCTTGGCGAGCTAGAAAAACTCGACCGCGATCGGCCGCTAGTTGTTTTGCAGAGTAGTAGGCCGTTTTACCATCGCTTGGGCACTTTCCATTTTATTCCAACTCGCCACGTGGCAGAAGATTTTGACAAAAATTGGATTTCCGTTTGGAGAGCCATTGTCGATTGCAAATGGCCAAAGTTGAGCCGGCAAGAGCAGGATTTGAAAATCGAGTACGTGAAAAAGAGCTGACTCTGGCGGAAAATGAGCGCTTTTCGATTTCCGATGGAGTTCTTGGTCGGATAAGATCTCGATTTGGAGTCAACATTATGCTTTACACGGGCAATGTTGTCAACGCCAATGTGCGAGATCGTCGTTGTTATTATGCCACTCAAAAGCCACAAGCAGCTGCATCTTCTCGTTGCCGGACACACAAGCGACACTTTTCTGGACCAATTTGAGAAATTTGCCAACGTGAGTTACAAGCGCCTCAAAGCCGAGCCCTGGAGAAACCCTGGCCTCGCTGCTCATCCCCACTGGCGAAAAAGTCGACTCGAAAAGTATCCCGACAGTTTGAGAGAAATGGCCGCTGGAGCCGGAGCCGCCACTGGAGCAGCGACTGGAGCAGCCACTGAAGCAGCGACTGGAGCAGCCACTGGAGCAGCCACTGGAGCAGTCGCTGGAGAAGCCGCTGGAGAAGCCACTGGAGCAGCCGTTGGTGCCGACTACGCCGACGACTACCACTGCGCCGACTACGACTGTGTCGACTACGACTGTGTCGACTACGACAGTGCTCCAGACGAGCGATGCCACGACGACGACGACGACAACGACGACGACGTTGACCTCTTTCCCGAGTACGACAGCGATGCCACCGATATTGAAAACGATGACAACGAGCCAATTCGAAATTTGGGAGGACTTGTGCCCAATGTATTTGACGAAAATACCCGCGTGCGAGTGCTTCAAGGTACCGAAGTTAAAGATATGCCGCGCTGTCCAACACAAAACTGTCCGTATACAAACGATCGCCTCGCTCGAATGAGAGATCACATTAAAAGTGCACTCTAGAGCAAAGGCGAATAATCACGCAAACGGTGCGAGGCCGCCATGTGACCAACTTTATGAAGGAAATTGTCAAAGACGGCTATTTGCCACACGAGCAATTTGTCCAAACTTTTTATATAACCTACGACATAGAATCGGTCATGTCGAGCGACTCGCTTGGCCGAATTGCGTCAATCTATGGCTACGAAAACAACAACGAGAGCGATGGCGAGGACAATGGCGGCGACGAGATGCAAGTCGACAACAATTGCGTCTCAATCAATGGGTCAATGCAGGCACTGCCGACACATTTGCAACGCCCAAAAAATCGAAAAAGCAAAAAGAGCAAAGCAAGAGCCGCCGCTTTCCGATCACAAATTTCACAATGTCGTCTCAATTGCTTGCATGACTAGCGATGGAGAAAAGGAGTGGTTTTTGAGAAAAGATCTCAACTATGAAAGCGGTATTATTATGGCGGCCAAGTTTGTCAAGTATTTGTCCAAGCTGAGGCAGCGCGCGGCCGAAAAATTACCTCCATGTCTCCAGCAAGGGATCGACATGTACTCTCACCAGCTGAGCAAAGAAGTCAAGGATCAATTTACGCCCGAAGAGCAAGGAGTCATTCGCAAAAAGCTCAACTACCTCAAAGACTTTTTCAAACTCAAGTGCTATGCGTGGAATGGAGAAAGCTACGATTTGCGAATACTGATGCCGCTGCTGACTTCGGTGCTGTACGATTTTGTTGGAAGGGAATCGAATCAGCTCAACATAATCAAACGCGACGGGGGCTACATGATGCTTGAATGCGCTGGGATAAGTTTTCGAGACTTTATGAACCACGTGGTCCCGATTTCTCTTGAAAAATTTGCTCGATCGTTCAACTTGGATCCAGCCGCTTTCTCAAAAGGCATTTTCCCCTATGACCTGTTTACCGACATGGAAACAATGTATCAGACAACTCAATTGCCGCCCTATCCGGCTTTCTCGTCTTCGCTCTACATTCCGTGCAAAGATCATGCGCTGGAAATGAACGCCATTATCAAGGGCAAGTTTGAATCGGGCGAGTGGACGCAGCGAGAGGACTTTTTCGAAAAATTGGACGAGTACCTCGGTCTGGAGCGTCTGTACGATTCTCCTGCGCTCAAAGATTTGCCGCCAGATTGTCCTCCCACAATGATCCAGTACATTTATTCGCATTTTGAATGGAAGGGCGATTGCTACGAGTGCGATGCCAAAAACGAAGCCGTCAAGAAAATGTTTCACATTTCATCAAAAGCCTACAATGAAAGTCTTGGCCTTTGGGATGAGATTGCGAAAAGCGTCAAAAACATGCACATGGTTCAATTTCTAGTCAACTACAATTTAAACGATGTGCGATTGCTAACCGCGGCGATTGATGCTTATTCGAAAAAGTGTCTCGAAGTATTTGGACTTGGCGCACATGGAGGACTCTCGATTGCCCAGCTGGCCCAAACTGCAGCATTTATGCACTTTGATGAACAATTGCCGCCAATTATTTCGCCACCCAAAGAGGCAGAAGGCTTTTACAATGATTTTCGCGAAAATCTTACTGGCGGCATCTGTCAGTCTGTACACCGAGCAGTTAATCTCAATGGGCCCAGCGACCTGCCCAAAGAGCTCTGGCAATCTACAAATGGAGAAGCCTTTTGCGACTTTACAGTTTACGATTTCAATGCACTCTATGGACACATGGCTCGTCAACCGCTTCCAATTGGCGCGGGATTGCTGTACAAGCGACAGACGAGCAATTTCAACAATTTTAGAGCGACCCCGCTCTTCCGCAAAAAGAAAATCCTTCGCTCGAGTCGATCCGCTACCTCGAGTACCTCAACAAAAACTTTATGGGCGATCGCATCAAACATGCCTACAATTTTGTCGAAAAAGATTGGGCGATATTCAATAGATGGCTTTGCTACACTTTCAAAAACTTTTACCAACAGCGATGGCGAGCAAATTGTTCAAAAGCTGCTTGTCGAATACAATGGCTGCCATTTTCATCCGTGTCCGCTTCGTCGCTGCAAAAAGGTGCTGAGCAAATCAGCTCGAACTCGTCGAGTTTGTGTCAATGGCAAATTTGTCAAAAGGGTTCTTTCAACTTCCGAAACAGTCCAACTCGAAATTGAGCGCATCCATTCGATTGTCGACACAATGAGAGAGCAAGACAAGATGCAATAATGGGGAAAGCCTTCTATTGACGGCGAGCTGCATGTTCAAGGTCTCCAAGGTCCACAAAATTTCCACCACGTTTTGCGCATCAAATACGACTGCGAATGGATCAAGGAAAAGTCGGTGATTTTGAGAAAGCGTCCCGAGATGCTCTACACTGTCTACAGTGCAGACTATCCATTTTTGTTTGACGAAGTCGTTGGCGAAAATGACGTTAGGGAAACCTTTGCTCGTCGCATCGAGGGCAACAAGACGCAATTCTTTGGATTTATTATGGTTGATTTGAAGGCGACACAAGAAGTTTATGAACGCCATCCCGACATTCCGCCAATTTTTGCGCGAGTAAAGCTCGAAGCTGGAGACTGCCAAGGACACATTGATCGCATCATCCCACCCGATGTCAAGAAGCGAATGTTTCCCAAGGAAGACAACATCTTTTGTTACAACAAGGAAAACTACTTGTGCACGAGCGATATGCTCGCCTATTTGATTGACCAAGGCTACGAGTATGAAATAAAGTACTTTGTCAACTACTACCGAGGTGCGCCATTTGCCAACTTTGTCAACAAAATGGTCAAGGAGCGAATCGAGTGCGAGAAAAAGGGCGACGACGCTGGTTCAAACATGTACAAGCTCTTTTTGAACTCGTTTGTTGGAAAATTTGCCCAAGCAAATCATCGCTTTGCAAATACAAAAATTGTCGGTGCTGATCGTCTCCGCGAGTGCTTTGAAAGCTCAATGTTCAAAGCTTATAAGCCGATTCGCGTCGAGGATGTGGCAATGGACCCGCTTCATGAAGTTGTCATGCGCAAGTCGACCGTTATTGAGAATTTGGCACTTCATATCCAGGTTGCAATTCATCAAAACTCGAAGCTGCATTTATTGCAGTTCAAGGACATAATCAAGGATTTCATGATTCCTGGAACTGTGAAATTTTGCTACTGCGATACAGACTCGCTGGCTTATGCTCGAACAAGACCAACTCTGAAAGCGTGCGTCAAGCCGCACTTGGTGAAAATGTGGGAGAAAGCTGTCGAGCCGCAATGGTTTGCCGGGCAATCGGTGGAAAGTCAAAAGGAGCCAGGGCTGCTGAAAGAAGAGGCATCGATCCAATCGGGCTGGTTTATAACACTTTCCCCAAGTGTTATGCATTGTGCCCAAAAGAGCCCTGCGAGCTGGAGAAGCAAATTGTCGACCCAAAGAATGAGCATCGAACGCTGGAAATTTTGCAAACCTTTGCCGAAAGACGGAGCCCGTACGGGAGCCCAAAATTACAAAAAGTCGACCAAGGGATGCAAGACCAAGATTCAGCTTTCGTAAGTAGCCGTGAGCAATCGTTTATTACTGCGAGTTTCAGGTTTTACGAGTTTCTGTGCGCTGTATTTGGAATCGATTATTACCAGCGAGTGACGCGAGATGTGGCCCAGTTTATGTGGAATCGAAAGCGCGACAGAATGGAAACGGTGACAACAACACGCAAGGTCATTAATCCAATACTGACAAAGCGACTGATTTTGGCGGACAAGGTTACTACTCGACCCCTCAGGCGTGCAAATGGATCTCTAATTTAGCTGTCTTTTTCTTATTTCTAGCTCTTTTCTAAATGTTTCTAAGCTGTCTTTCCGTAAATAAAAACATAAAACTAGTTTCCATCAAAAATCTATTTGCAGAATGAGAGGTTTTCGTGAGCGTCTGAGTGAAACAGTCGAGTACATTCGCCAACAAAGAAGTCGGTATCGGCGTTCTGTTCCGTTGAGGCCGCCCGTGCGCGAAAGTGTGCGAAATTCCGTGGATGTCGATAAGCAAAATGATTACGAGTTGTCGCCAGAAGAGCTCGAGTGGTATTATCCTGCGTCGCGAAACATTATCAATTGGGAGAGTGAAAGTGACAATCTTGGAGAAGGAACAATAGCGGACATTAAATTTCTCAACGAGCTTATACCCAACAACAACAAGGCGAGCGCTTATCCCAATCCCGAGGAATATTTTGAGCCCATTGAAGAAGAGTGTTTGTATGCGCTGGATTCTCCATTGCAATATGCGCCCATTTACTTTATTCGTAAGTATTTCGGACGAGCTGTTGTAAATTGGCTTGACTAGAACTAGAAATTCAAATTTTAAATGCTGCAAAATTGAAACGCAAGTATAAATTTTTAACATTATGGCTATCTATAAATGGTAATTATGGTTAAGGAGATCATTGGGACCATCACAAAATGTCATTTGCCGGAGACAGATGGAAACGCTACTACGAGTTGTGCAATCGCTACAGCATCACTTTGCTCAACACGTGGGACATTCAAGAGACGGTGCGGAAAATTGCCTACAATCTCAATGGGCTGCTGCGTGTTCAAGTCGACGCCTTTTACACGACAATAAGTTCTAGAAGACTGCGCGATCGACAGGGAAACTTGCAGGAAATGAGCCCCAAGGTGAGGATCGTATATCCCAACACCTGGGGCTCAGTAAACGACACCGAACTGCTCGTCACTCCCAACGACATTGACCAACTCGTGAGCGAACTTGAGCCCGACGCCTTCAAGAACAAGCTCCTGATCAACACGTTTCAGCGGCGCAACGTGTTTCAAGACTCGAACGTTCGCCTCCATCGCCTCCTCGCTTACCAAGTCATGGTATACACGTTTCCGCCTTCGTGGATACATTCCTAGCTCGACTCTGCTTCGCCTTCTTCAATTCTGTTTCAACCCTGCTTCTTTCAACCTGCTCCTTCAACCTGCTTCTTCAACTCTGCTTTTCAACCCTGCTTTTTCACAACTTTGCTATTCCAACTTTTGTAAAGAAAACGCCGTTTTAGATGAATATTTACAATGTTTTATTGGCAGTTTCAATCATGTTTAGAAAGTGGTTTTGAAATTTTTTGGATTTTTGGCTTTTGCATAAATACAGGGCATAAATTGGCGAAAAAGGGCATAAATTGGCGAAAAGGGCATAAATAACGAAAAGGGCATAAATTGGCGATAAAAGCATAAATAACGAAAAGTGCATAAATTGGCGAGAAAAGGCGAAAATGTACAAATGTGTTGCAAATGTGCGAGTAAAGTAAAAGGTGCGAATAAAGTTATAGGTGCGAGTAAAGTTACAGGTGCAAATAAAGTTACAAGTGCGAAAAAATGGTGCCACAGAAAAAGGCCAAAAAGGGGCCACGCATGTATCTCTCACATTCCTAAAATTCCTTGAACTTTTCAAACATGTATCCTTTTCTAACATCTTTCGTGCATTGGGGTGCAGGACAGGCTTGCTTGGGTGCTTGGGGAGCTTGGTTGAAGACACTTCATCGTGAGAAGGGCGTTATAAAAACAAATCTGATTATTTGTCTATCATGCTTTTTGACGGCTTACCCGAGAGAAAGTCGGTTTTATTGGGAGCGTCGGTGGCGCTGCTTGCAGCTGTGGCGCCAGTACTTGAGTCAGCAGTGGTGGCGTACGCCCTGGCGGTATCGGCATTGGCGATGTTTGTTGAACCGGAAGTGGCACGCGCAGAAGCTCGACGAGTTGGAACTCCGACGACGCTTCTAAAGACGGCGATGATTGTGCGTTTTCGGCTTGGGGCAACTAGGCGACTTGGGTCGAATCGTCGCTTGAGCGGACTTGGTGGCTTGATGTCGAACGCTAGAATTTTTGGTGAAAACGGTGTAAATGATCCAAGCTTACCTGTGCCGTCGAGCTTCTTTTTCTCGCTATAAAGCGGAAAGTTGGCAGCATCCATGCCCAGCGTCTGCAAAAGGGATCGAAATTGCGACCGCCTTTTGTGATGAGGGCCTGATTGACGACGTGCTCGTGCTTGAGGACGGATTCTAGGCGAAGCAGCGGATCTTCTTGCAGCGCAAAGACGAGATAGAAGTTGGCGAGTCGATCCAGCAGCACCAACATTGTGTGCCTAATGAATGAAGATAGCTTTATGAGTCACTCATAATTCTAACTTCACTCACCTGTGATTTGCGATGCACGTGCCGCGCAGAGTTTTGTGGGTGCGGAGGAGGACTTGTCGAGATTGCTGCTGCTCGGGCGTGAGATTCTCCAGCGGCTGAAAGACGAGCTCTTTTTCTAGCGCCGTGAATGAGAGCACTTTGGTGAGTCGCTGCTCTTCGCTCTCCACAAATTTTGCCAAGAATTGGCGAATGATGCAGAGCATTGAGAGGGCGACGTTTTCCGAGTTTTGCAGCAGCGAGTAGCCCTTGAGCAGCACAAGATCTTTGGCGAGCTTGGGAAATTCGACTTGGAGAAAGGTTCCAAAGACGCGGGGAGTCGCCAAATCCTGGTATTTTCGGCCGAGGTGGTTGTTGATCGGCAGCGACAAGTCCTTGTAAGCGTAATCGACAACGTTGGCAACCGTCACCAGATGGGCAAATGTGTCACTGCGGTGAAGAGTCGTCCAGTCGATTTCATGCACCGTGGAGGAAAACGATTGGCGCGACTTGATTTCCGAGTAACTTGCCATGCAAATACTTTGCATAATCGATACAAGCTCGCTTGTAACGTCGAGACCTAAACCGTTTTTTGAGTTTTTGCTAAGCTGGAATCTCTCGACTTACCGACCAAGTACTCGCTATCCTCTGGTGCTGCCGTCGAATCGTTGGTGAGCGGCGAGTTGGTTGAAGAGCAGATATTTCGCCCAAGGTAGCTGACGGCTCTCATATCGCCATTTTCCTCTCGCCCTGTCCAATAAGACCTCGGAATGAACTTGCAATCGCACGCCGCCAAGTAAAATTCCGCCAGCCTATTCACTGATTAGTATGCGCCAAAGCGGCAAAAATGGCAAAAAGTGGCAAAAGCAAAACTTACGCGATAGAAGCACTAAAGCGGCTCGAGTGCGGAATCGAATCGAGCAAGTGGCTGGACAGCAACGATCGTTGATGTACATTCTCCAAGGTCAGCATCTTTTCTTGATGGCAGCAGACGAGGATGTCGTCGAGAAGCTGGTTGAAGAGCACGTCTGCTTCGACAAGAGGCCAAACTTGGGGAAGTACAGCGAGGCCAAATTGTCCGTTGATGGAAATGGGCATTCGAGCAAAAATACCCTTGTTTTCGCGCACGTGACTCGCCAGTGAAGACGAATAGTCGACCCAGGTGTTGCGGGGACAGTCTTGGCGTAAAAGAGCTCTTTTGGAATGAGCCCAGACGCGCTAAAATGCATTTGATAACGAGGGGTTGATCAAGTAAAGCTTACCTTATTGCTGGTTTCGCGTGAAAAACGCCTTGAGCGTCTGATAGAGTGCGAAAATTGCCACAAATACCGCCGCCACTTGAATCGGGTGGATTGACAAAGTCGACTCGGGAGCAAATGGGGCGGGCATTGTCGAAAAGCTGGCGTTGGCGTGGCCGTTGGTGTTGGCGAGGTTGTTGGCATGGCCGTTGGCGTGGCCGCGGGCAAGAGCGATTGAAGGGGCGTTGGCGTGGTTGTTGGCGAGGCCGTCGGTGTTGGCGAGGCCGTTGTCAGGTTTGTCGTCGCTGGAGCCGACGACAGTTTTTCAGAGTCATCGCTCCTTCGGGTGTCTTCAAGGACGTCGTTGATGGTGCGCTCGAGGGTGGCAAAGTCGCAGTCGCTCTCGTAGGAGACCGGGCTAGGTTCCGTAAGCGAAGGACTGGCGGAGGAGGTGACGATTGGAGTGCGAAGCGGCTCTTCTCTCGACCGAACGGGTTCAACTCGCTCATTTGCCTTGTCATTGCCGCCGTTGAAGGAGTAGTTGGCCTTGGATCCGCTAGCGGCGACTCGGACGCTTGAACGGTCGCTGGCTTGATCGCTGGAGTGGTCGCTGTGACGTACGTCGGCGCGGACGCTGACTTGGTCGCTGGGACGGACGCTGACTTGGTCGCTGGCGTGGTTGCTGTGACGTGCGTCGGCGCGGTCGCTGGAACAGTCGCTCGCGTGGTCGCTGTGACGTACGTCGGAACGGTCGCTGACGTTGTCATTGGTGGCGGGGCCGACGCTTCTTGATCTGACTCGGCTGGTGGCAAGAGGGACAAAGGTTGGAAGGGCCGAGCCAGTGGTGACGACTCCCGCATACGTTGGGGCGCTGGTGTTGCTGGACGCGGAGTTGGGTCGGCTTGCAACAAAGAACGGCGTGACCGACTCCGGGTAATTGGGACGTTGAGACCATCCGAGGGGTTTTGAACCCATGTTTGGTGGTGTTCTCGTCGTCGATGTCGGCGCTGGACAAGTCGGTCGCGGCCACGTTGAATTGATTCCGGCGTCAAGACGATATCCCAATCCATATGTCATAAACTAAAAATTTTACCTTTTATATTTTGCGCTAAAAGTGTAAAAAGGGCACAATGGGAATTTTACACGTCAGTCAATTGGTGGTGGTGGAGGTGGCGGCTTGTGTTCGCTTTCTAGACAAAGTTGAGTCAAAACCAACAAGGCTCACTTACGAAATGTAATTTCCAAAGGCAACAAGTCCGTCGATAAAAGTAAATTCTTGATCTTGTGGCCCATCAAATTCGTCCAAGAGATTTTCCATTTCTTGATAAAAACGCTTCCTTCGGCTTTCGGCTCTTTCTTTGTGACAAATTGCCCGTCGTCAGATTGCCATCCGAATCGCCAGTCTACTTCCCAGTCGTTTTGCCAGTTGGTGAGCCCGGACGGGAGCCCGTTGGCGAGTCCGTTGGTGAGCCCGTTGACGAGTCCGTTGGTGAGCCCGTACGGGAGCCCGTACGGGAGCCCGTTGGTGAGCCCGTCGGCCGAATCGCCGGCTGTCCCCGGCTCCATCTTTGGCCATTTCATCTTTGGCGACTCCATCTTTGTCGGCTCCGTCGTCGACTCCATCGTCGGCTCCATCGTCGGCTCCAACTTGGGCTGCAGTACTGCCTCCAACTTGGGCTGCAGTACTGCCTCCAACTTGGGCTCTGGCTCTGGCGCTGGCTCTGGCTCCGTCTTTGGCTCCAACTTGGGCACTGCCTCCAACTTGGGCTTCGTCGTTGTCTCCGTCGTTGGCTCCGATTTCGGCTCCGATTTCGGCTCCGATTTCGCCTCCGATTTCGGCTCGACTCTGCTAAACGGCGGCACCTTGGCGACTGGAGAATTGCTCCAGTACTCGTTCTTCCAGTAGTCGCGCCCTTCGTTGGAGAGCAGCGAGCTATTTGGCGATGCTATCGGCGATTGCAGCGCCGACACAAACTCTGGAGATGAATTTGCCGACGCAACTGGCGACGCAACTGGAGTTTGAAACGGCGTTTCCACAAAGAGCTGCCGACGCAAGAGTCCAAGTTTCGCCGGAGTATCGATCAGCTTCTTGAGCGGCACCGTAATTTTCGCCAGTTTCTTTGTGATGGGCGATTGCGCATCAAATTGGGCTTTCAGAGATTCGTACTTGCCAATGTGATTGACAACATCGGGCGGAAGACTGGCGAAATACTGCTCCATGGTCTGCGGCGATGTTTTCTGAAATACGAGTAAAAATCGATATTTTTAATTATCGTAAAACTTACCGCTTGGAGCGCTGAACTTCGATTCTCGGGAGGAGTTCTCGAGCTTTCGAAATTTTCAATTTCGGCTTCAATCGAAAACGATTCTTCCGACAATTGTGGCGACAAGTTGGTGGTCGTAGGGCCATTTCCTGACGCGGTGTTACTGGAAGTACTGGGCCAGCACTGGAAGTACTGGGACCAGTACTGGGACCGGCATTGGAAGCAGCACTGGAAGCAGCATTGGCAGCAGCGTTTTCTGCTGCAGCTCGTTGCGCAGCAATTTCTTCTTCTTCTTTCTTCCGGTTGTCAGCTCTTTCCGCCCTCTCTGCATCAAGAGCTGCAAAATACTCAAAATCTCTTCTGAGCTCATAGGGGTCCTCACCTTCAATTTCATCCAGGGGAATTGTTTCGTACCGCGAGCGCACTAGTCGGCAATGCATTCCGAGAACAATCAATACCGCCAAAAAGGAAAATGCCAGGCCGATAATTAACACGATCCTACGGGGTGCAAAAAAGGAAAAAATAAAATAAATTAAAATAAAATAAAATGCACCATATGCGCGCCAGGGTACCCCGTGCGCTCAGGGTACCTGGTGAAAAAAGCACCTAGCTTACTCACGTGAGAATATTTATTTTTCCTTTTTGGACAGATGGCGGTGCCGTACGTCCCGGCGTGGATGACGTGGGGCTCGGCGATTGCGTTGGGCTTGGAGACGTGGTGCTCGGGTCGGTTTGATTGCTCGGCATCTCGGCGGTCGTCGGAAGCGAACTTGTCGGAGGAGAAGGACTCGTCGATGGAGGACTCGGAAGTGAACTTGGAGGAGATGAACTTGGCGGAGGTAAACTTTTGGAGGTGAACTTGTTGGAGACGAGCTTGTCGTGGGCGAGCTTGTAGTGGACGAGCTTGTCGTCGGCGAAATCGTCGGCTCCATCGTCGGTGGCGACTTTGGCGACAAAGTTGGTGGTGGTGGCGGGGAAGGAGCAGGCTTTCGGCAAATCAAATCTTGATGATTTACAAATCGGCTGCAATATCGCCGATGTTCTTCGCTCGTCATCTCTTTGGAGCTCAAGCTCGCCGCCAAGATCAACAGAACGAGCATGATTTCTAAAATATTTCATTTGAGGCAGTTTTACTTGAGTGGTTAAGATTGAGTGGTCGAGAAAAATGGCACAGGTTGTCAAACAGTTTGAACAAATTTAAAAGCTAATTTTCATGAATTTGAAGCAGAGAATCAAAAACGAAATTTGAAGGAAACGGAATTTAAAGTTGAAATTTTGAGAAAAAATTTGAAAAGAAGATTGAAGAAGAAATTGAACTAAAGCAGAAACTAACACATGATTTTAGAAGGCGCAAATTTGATAATAACTAAAATTTTCAATTAAAAAAGGGCAGGGACGAGTTTTGAGTGGTTAGTACGTTGTTGATGCGCGGCGGCGGCGGCGGCGACGACGGTGACGACTGCGGCGGCGGCTAGTTGAACTAGAAATTCAATTAGATTTTGAGACTTTTGAAAAACTTACCAATGTGCAAAAGGCGTCGGACTCGGTTGGTCGAGTAGCAGCATTGGCGGCGAGCAGATTTTGGGCCATCGCGTGCTTGGGGAGCCAGCCGACGAGGTGCTCAAAGGAACGGGCGGCGCTGCAGATAGCCCACAAGATTGGCTCATCGGGTCGGCTGACGCTGTGGTTGAGGGAGCGAGGATCGCGACCTCGGAGAAGATTGAAGAGCGTGTTGAATCGCTCGCGCTCGCCGGAGGGGTCGTCGTTTTCTTTAGAAGAACGAATTTGCTCTTCGTTTTGGCTGATTGCGCTTTGGTAGAGCTTGAGCTCTAGGTTGTATCGGAGGAGCTTTTTCTGAATTGGCTTGATTGTGCCAGACATTCGGCACTCCTAAAAGCTGTTAGTTGTTGTTGTCGCAAATTTTGATAACCTGTAGATTCCATCGAATTGCTCCCGGATCGTATTCGGGAATTGTGGCGAGGGGGATGAAGCCAGCGACGAGCAAATAGGCCACTTTGACGTTGGCGAGATCATCGATTCGCCAGTCGGGCCAGGGATGAGCAACCATCGGAGCAGTCGTCAAATGTTTGTAGATTTCGGAGGCAGTGGCAGAGTTGATGGCATCTTCCATGTCGAGCAATGACCAGCCTTCACTAGGCAAATCGATCTAAATTGAAATTGAAATTTGCGATTTCGAAATTTGGCAAAAGACTTACCCAGATTCGAAGCGACGAAATTGTCAAATATCCGTCGACAACCTTGAATCGAGGAAAAGCGCGCCGAGCTGGAGCCAGTTGAAAACATGCACCGGCTCGTCGGTGATTGGAAGTCCCTTGAGCAGCTTGGCCAATTTTGTGCCTTTGAGACATCCGGTGAGGCCCTCGGCGCTGAGATTGTCATCGACAACCGAGTTCAAAGTGGAAGCAATGCTCCACCGCTTCACAGAATTAATTGGGATCAAATCGGGCTCGGGATCCTCTTGCACGTCGAGCCATCGAGCGACGTCGGCAAACTTGGCTTCGCGCTCGGCAGCAGTAAGCGTTTGCTCTGGAACGGGAGCTGGCGTCGGAGCTGTCGCTGGAGCTGGGTCGTACGTCGGCGCTGGGACGAACGTCGGCGCTGGAGATGGCTGTCGAGCGAGCTGAGACGAGTGCCGAGTCGACTGGCGCTTGGGCTGCTGGCGTTGCGGCTGCTGGCGTTGCTCGCGTTGTTGCTGCTCGCGTTGTGACTGCTGGCGTTGAGGCTGCTGGCGTTGTGGTTGCTGGCGCTGCGGCTGCTGACGCTGAACTTGCTCGCGAAGGGGTTGCTGGCGTTGTTGCTGGTGGCGTCGGCGTGCTGGCGACTCGAGACGCTGCTGGTAAAGCGGAATTCGGGGGTGTCCTTGACTTCTTCGTCGAGTGGGCCTTTGGATTGGCGGGTCTACTAAATTTTTGATTAGAATGCGCTTTTGGACGATAAATTACCGTTTTGTCGGCCTCGAGCTCCATAGATTGGCTGATCGGCCGAGTAGAGCACTAAAAATGGGTTATTGATGCAGAATTTGTTGAAAAATTACCTCTTCGGTTTTACTTGCCAGCTTTTCGGATTGGCTCCGACATCGTTGTTTTGCCTGAGTTGATGCGGGGCTGCTATTTTTACGGCAGTTTCGCTTAGAGCGCCGGACTCTAACAGGCGAGACATCAAGCGGACTCTCCATCGCTCTAGAATTAATTTTACGGTAGGGTGGGGTGGGGGATCGACTATCGATGAAATTGATCAAAAGGCGGAAGCTGGGGATAGATTGGACAGTAGTCGGGAAAAGGCGTATGGGAACACATATGGGAGCCCGTACGGGAACCCGTATGGGAGCCCTGAGGAGAAATGATGTGGTAAGCGGGTGGCAGCGGGTAAATTGGCGAACTCGGCAGAGAACTCGGCCGAGAACTGGAACTTGGCGGAGAAGGAGGTGCAGAAGCGGGGCGCGAAGACGGGTACGGGTACTGGTACGGGCTGTAATAAGGCGGAAGAGGTGCGGGAAAATTCGGACGAGTCGCGTAGCTGGCGTGAAGTTCAACATCCTTGAATCGAGCGCCAACCTTTAACATATTCTGATTTGACAGGAATTCTAAAAATTTTTGTTAGCAAGGGTTTTGACTGATTGAGACTTACTGGACGCAGTGTCAACGACATCCGAAACGACTTCAAGGGCACTTTTCTTGCGAGAAATTGTGCCAGTTGAAGCGCGTCGCGTTGGAGGCGGAGATGAGCTTGCCGAGCCTTCACTTGAGCCCGATGGTGCGCTAGTCGACGGAGCATCTCGAAGCGATAGCCGCGCTGCTGAGGAAACGATTCCCTCGGATCGAAAAGCTTAAAGTAAATAAGGGGCCCCTCGAAATTTTGACTTACGACGAAGGACGCGGCTTGTGGTCGTCTTTACGACGGTCTTGACGACTGTTCAGGAGCAGTTCAGGGACAGTGGAACTAATTGTAATAATTGTTGATTCGCTGAACACTGCTCTTGTGCTCCAAGCTTCCGTCCCAGTTGATTGGAGTGGTCGTAGTCGAATTCTGGGTCATGTCGAGCAAGCCTTCCCCTCCAAGGATTTTGACTCGGTGTGTGGTCACGACCTGGAGCTGGAACTTGTTTTTGCTGACGGCGGATGGATTGTCGGCGCACGCAATCTTCAACGACGGCTTGAAGTTCAAGAGCCGGTGATGATTGGTCTTGGCGAGGCCGCTGACAAAGGCGCGCTCGGGGTTATCACGCACAAAGAGAGCATCGACATCGTCCTTAAAATAAAAGTCAGAAACAGCGCCCATGTCTAAACTTACCGCGAGACCAAAGTTAGCGCTTGGCGGCGGTGGGGGAGGCTTGGCTTGAGCACTCGCCATTGCTTCTCGGGCGCTTTCGGCTTCGTTGAGAGCCTTGGCATTTTCGGCGAGCAGTCGCTGGCGGTCGGCTCGCGGCGGAGGTTGTGGACGTTTAGGTGCAACGCTGAATCGAACAAACTGCTCTGCGAGAGCGTCCAGGTCGTCGTCGTCGTCGCGCTAAACAAGAGTTTAGAGTTTTGTAATACAAGTTTTGTAACACAAGTTTTTGCACAATTTACCTTTTTGTAAGCAGCAGCAGGGCGCCCACAAGATCCAAATAGTCCACGACCTCGTCCGCGGTTCGTATTGCGGAATTGATGCCGGTATTTTGGCTGCTCGTCTTCGCTGGAGTCGCTGAGCTTTCGCGGATCCTTAATGCTCCGTTTGAAGTTGAACTTTGACTTTGTTCACTAGAAAGGGGGCACTACCTGGCGATCTCCGCAATGTCCGATGACGCTGAGCGACGGCGCGTCGATGAGAGACTCTGGCGGCGTAATGTTCTTGCGCTCCCGTACGGGCTCACGTGCGAGCCGCCGCCCTCGGATGAAAACTTTGTGCTTCGGCTCCCGTACGGGCTCCCGTACAGCATCGGCATCAGGCGGCGGTGGTGGTGGCTTGTGAAGCGGCGGAGGCGGCTTGCTTGGCGGAGCAAACTCTGCTGGTGTCTTGAGAGTTCGCGGCGGTGGAGGCTTGCTTGGTGGGTCGATTCTGGCGTAAAATTTTTCTGGATCGTGGGACTGAATCGTAGACTCTTCAGTGACCGTTGAAAGATCGGTCTTGCCAATCATTTTTTCGGCCGATTTCGACATCCTTAAATTTTTTATTTTTCACACTAGCTCCAAATAAAAGGGATAGAAATTTGAAAACAGGGTTAAAAGAAAGAGAAGCTACATGAGAAGTGATGAGGCTAACAGAGTATAAAGCTAACGGAGTATAAAGCTAAACGAAAAGAAAGCTAAACGAAAGAAAGGATAAACGATGGGAAATTAACGAGGTCGAGGTCAGATAAAGCTTGAGTGATGAAATGAACAGCTGAAGATGGGGCGATTTTAACCAGGGACAAATGTACAGGGAGATGCCAATTCATGGAAGAATAATTTGGAGGAGTTTTCGGGCGATCGTTTTACCAAAGGGCTCGGAAGGCGGCGGCAAGCGATCCTTGAATTTTAATTTTAGTTTCAATTTAAGTTACAATCAATTTTTAACTTACCGACAACCATGTCGAAAAAGAGCTCGCCCTTGTAGTCGCCGTCGGATTCGTCGAAGCCAAAGGACTCGAAGACGACATCCATGCCAGAGCCAAAGTCGCCAGAGCCGAAATCTTCATCGTCGTAGAGGATGTAGTCGGTGGCGGTCAGGTTGGTGGCGGTCAAGTTGGCGGCGGCGGCGGTCGAGTTGGCGACGATTGTGGAGTTGGTGGTGGCGGCGTTGACGAGGTCAAAAGAGTCGTAGCCAAAATCCATCTCGTTGAAAGAAATTGACAAGTTTCCGGCGGGTGGCGCTACATGATTTTTAAGCGCAATTGCGCCAAAATAAACTAACCAATCACGCTGCGCGCGAAGCGTCCGCCAAGGCATCGTCGTCGAGCCGGAAAGACCATTAGGATCAATATCATGCAGGCCAGGGAGAAGACGCAGCCAACGAAGAACCAGCAGAAGATGAGCAAGTTGTTTACTCGCTAGAATAAAAGTTAGATTTACTCTTAAATTTTTTGTTAAAGCTAGTACTTACTCGGAAGCCTGAGAGGTGAGCCACAACTGTAAACTTTTCGACCGATATCTCCTGATGGTCCAAAAGCGAGATAAACAGCCGTCGCGGATCAGGGCGTCGAGAGACGATCGGAGGCATTCGCTGAAAATGCTCAGCGTTTGCCTGGAGCGAGTCGCAAAGGTGGTTAACCATTGACGGATTCGAAACGCCCAGCTCTTCGTCTCCAATGGAGGCAGTGGACTCGCTGCTATTTTTTTAAATTAACTGCTGTATTATAATAATTATGAAAATTATATATAAAATCATATTTATAAAACTTACGGTGCAACAACCATGGCGGGGTAGGGGTAGCAAAAGGCTCTCTTGATCTTTCGACGCAAGCGCGAAACCGAATTTTCCAGGTTGGAAATGTTCACGCTTAAAGTGCACATGTTAGTGAGCCGCCAAATTATCAAAGGCAGAAGAGAGGGCAAAGAGTCAAAGGCGCCACAGAAATGATAACAGTCGGCACAGGCTTTCTCTTAATCGGCAGTTTTCTCTCAGCAGAATTTGACCTTGGGAACATCCGGTCTTTGATAAACATCGGAATGTGGCCTTTTTTCGTAATTTGGTATTCGGGCGCCATCAAGAAACGAACCCAAACCAAATCTCGAAAATACAAATCTGACGAAATGTTTTAAAAAGGGAAATCTTGAACCTAGATTTGAATTTTAAAAGATGCATTATGGCTCTTGGAATTTTGATTTTTGCAAGCTTGCTTTTTGCAAACTTGCTCTTTTGAAAGTTTTTGAAGATTTTAAAACGGCTCTTTTGAAAGTTTTCGAGTCGACTCTTTGGAACATTTTAAAACGACTCTTTGCAAGTTTTCGAGACGACTCTTTGCAAGTTTTCGAGACAGCTCTTTTGGAAGTTTTCGAGGCAGTTCTTTTGGGAATTTTGACGCAGCTCTTTTGAAAATTTCGACGCGGCTCTTTGGGAAGGTTTTCGAGGCAGCTCTTTTGGAAAGTTGACCCTTTCGCACAGTTTCAAGCTCTATTTTCGCTCCGTTTCTAGCTCTATTATCTAGCTCTATTTTCGCTCCGTTTTCTAGCTCGAATTTCCGCTTTAGCTCTAGTTTTGGCTCAATTTTCAACACTAGATTTTTGCTCCGTTTTCTACTTTTACTCAACTATTTGCTCCAACTCTCTCGACCGCTCGACTCAGAAATGCAAGACTCGTAAATGCAATCAATATCAAATAAATCGGTTGCATTTTATATTAAAGATAAATTGAATTTATTTTGAAAACAGACTCCCGTGGAGATAAATCCGTTAGTTTCGTCGCTGCAGAACAATATTGTTCTTGAAGGCGGTCACACGCCCATTTTCGTCTTTGACGAGGATCAACGCCCTTACTTCTCCATTCGCCAATTCCTCGCGAAAGTTGTTGTGGTTGAGGTAGATCTCGGCGATGTTGTTCTTGAGGGCGACCAGCTGCTTTTGGAAGGGGGTCGCGTCGGCCGGAGCTAAATTATTAAATTAAAGCATTTGATGATAAATTTACCTTTGTGGGGCGGCTCGACGTAGTTTTCGATGCGAAAGATTCGCGGAGTGTTGAATTCGGTGGGCCGGCCCAAAGTTCCATCCCGTCGGTATGCCCGAAGGACAATGTTGCCCTGCTCGCCAATCTGACCGTTGTCGTCGGAGCGGAGCTCGGTGTAGGTGCCGTTGTCGTTGGTGGAGTTGCCGTTGGTGGAGTTGCCGTTGGTGGAGTTGCCGCTGCCGTTGAGGACGGTGGCGTTGGGAGAAGGGCCGGTGCCAGTGGCGTTGAGGGGCTCGACGCCAGAAATGGCGCTCACGTTGGCGCCGCCAACAAAAACGCTCTCGTCGGGAGCAACAACGCTGCCGCCAGGTACGGTGACGACAGATCGGTTGGCCGGGGTGGCTGGCGCGACGATGGTTGTTTCGCCAGGGTCGGCGCCAACATCGACTTCGTCAAAGACGGTGACGATGGAGCCGTTGAAGGTATTGCCGGTGCCGTTGGGAGAGGACGAGTTGCCGTTGGAGGAGGAGGAGTTGCCGTTGGAGGAGGAGTTGCCGTTGGAAGAGGAGGAGTTGCCGTTGGATTATGAAAGAAAAACCACTTAATGACCCTAAGTTTTTACTCTTCTTCTTCAACCTCGCGAACAAGCTCAGCTTGCGCCCAAAAAGAAGTTAATTTAATCGTTAATTGATTCCTTTTTTAGAAAAAATGATCGCTAATTAATACAACTTTGAAAAAAAGTCCGGAAATTTGGACAATGGTCGATTTTGTAGTGTCCCACTAAGATGCCTTAAGGATATAGCCTTGAATATTGAACTTTCGTAGCGCCGAATCCCTGTTACAAATTTATTCATTTTTCAAAGAAACCCTACCTAAAATACAGCGTAGATTTCGAAAATTCCTTTATTTTTAGTACTTTCTATAGTGTTTATACCTAAAAATCGACTTCAAAATAAAACAGACCATTGTTCTCTGAAAATTCCCATTAAAAAGGTAAATCTGGATTGATGATATGAAAGATTGAAGCCTTATCTCCAATCTAGCGGTGGATTTTGTAAAAATATTGAAGATTATGGCTTCTAGTGTTGTAATATGCTTCCTCATTTATGACTTCTATGTACTAAGCTAAGTTCCTGCTAAGTAAGCATACTACTTTTGTATTGACGGTAATTCGGTGTTTATTTGTGATTCTGGGGCAAGGCCAGAATGAGGAAAATGGGCATGGTCAGGCACTTTTATAGGAGCGCTCGCTCACAAGTCTCACTTCGAGTTCGACTTTATTTCTGAGCTGCAGTTCCGAGTTGAGTGATGAGCTCGCGCTTCGCAGTTGGTGCTCGCGCTCGCCCCTCAGCTTCGGATTCTGTGAGCTTGGCTCGAGACTCAACTTTCGTTTTTGTAATCATAAGTTATGGACCATAACACTTTTCCCCCCTTGCTGGCAAAATAAAATTGAGTTCAGGTTACAGCTACAGTAAGGTTTAACGATGAGCTTCAGTAAAAATTAACGTTGAGCTACAGTAAGGTTTAACGTTGAGCTACAGAGAAGATTTACCTTGAGCTACAGTGAGGTTTAACGTTGAGCTACAGTAAAATTAGACGTTGAGCTACAGTGAAGTTTTTCGTTGAGCTACAGTAAGGTTTAACTTTGAGCTACAGTAAGAGGTAAAAAGTTCTTAGTCGAAAAATTTGAAGGGCTGTTGCTGCTGTGTGAGGTCTTCTTCCCACCTATTCTTCCCCTCCTTCAGCCAGTGTCGTTGAGCTACGTTTGTGTCAGGATGTAAAAACACTAGTTTCTTACTTGAAGTTGTTTTGCTGCAAAGCCATCGTAAGAAATGCCATCCTTGAGCATCGGCAAAGTATGCATTTTCTTGTAAGGCGAGCGAATTGTACGGCGCATTCAGGATGAAAGGAGTGAAGACAGCGCAGTGTTACTGTGGGGTTACCCTTTCGACAAATCGGGCATAAACGGCCGTTTGTATGATTCTCCATGTGTGTGGTAAAGAGACGAAGTCCCATCGAGTCCCAGCAAGCAGAACAATGATCATATTTTTTGCATCGCTCAAGGAAGCAGTTTATGTGAAGAAAGTGCCCACATTTTGCTTTGATACCCATCTTCATACTTGATTCACAGTCTCGCATTGAACAAATAACGCAGACTTCGTCAGGGTTTGGCGTTACTATTCGGCATCCTTCGACGAAAACGAACATGAAAGTTGTTGTAACGAGCCAATTGATGGGTGTTTCTTCGGCTTTTCTATTGACAGAGCTCGTTCTACCGGCTCTTTCAAGGCGACCACTCGAAAAATCGTTTCTGCTACTCATGATCTGAATCAGAGTTCTAATAGTTTCTGTCAGCTAACAATAATGGATGTCTTTAACAGCTGAAAATTTCATCGTTTTAGCTATGTTTCTTCAAAAGAAGAGCTTTTAGCAAAAACTGTATAGAAAGAACTATTACAGTAAAAATTTAGTTCGCTTTCCGTGAAAAAGCGTTGTTGTTCAGAATTTTGTTTTTAAATGCCGTTAATTCATGTTTTAGAACAGAATCTGAATATATATCCTTATTTTTTAAAGCTCATCTATCATGGTATTCCTTTTTTTTTTAAGTGAGCCCATAAAATTGAACTTACAGTTAATCTTTAGCGTTGAACTACAGGAGGATAGGTTTTATCATAATAACAATCTTCTTTTTGACTTTAACGCGAGTTTTCTTTGTGAAAAGAAACACTCGGCGAAACTTTTAAAAGCGTTGATTCTTTTAGTTCACATGTTCTGATTTCCATCAGATTTTCGATAAAGACAGACGTAAGCTAAATAATTTCAATTATGAACCGTTATGGGCTTGTTTTTTCAAAGAGGAAGAAAAAGGGAATGAATGAAAGTACTATTTTAATGAATATTTATCTTAAGGGTACGGCTATCGATTTTGAAAGGGGCTTATTCTGATTGTTGAAAATACTTTGTCGTTTCCTAAATTTAAGGAGGTTCCGTCAGTTTTTGGTGAATTGAGTCTCGTGCGGACCAAATTTTCGAAAAAATCTGTATTAAGGCTAGTTTTTATTAAATTAAATGATCTAAGGGGATAAAGTCCGATAAAGATTATTAATTTTGCGCTTTCCGAAAATCAGGTTCGTGCGGATGAAATTTTGTGGCGACACCCTTAGTCGATTTTACTTGCTGTTTCGAAAAAGTATCAGACTTTGAATTTACAAAGTCGATTTTCGGCAATATTTGAGATTGCGCTCGAAAGATTTTTTTATAAAAATTTCTACCGTCACCTGAGCTACAGTCGAAATTCGTAACGAAGAATTTAAAATCGATTGATTCCAAAGCGGGGGTGGGGTTCCTTAAGTCAGAAATTTCCAATAATTGAACATTATTTTCATCAATGGGTATTCTGATTGGTTCCGAGAAACAAAGATCAAGTTAAGCCAATCGATTTAATTGAAACCCGTGATCTGCGCTAGAATTGACCCTTTCATAGTTATTCGAGCGTTACGGTGGTGTTCTTCACTACTGTTTGCTCCAAATGATTTTATTGGCCGTAAAATTTTGAACTTCTCGTTTTCCGCCTTGACCTCTTTATTTTTATGGTTTCTGCCTGAGCGCTTCAACCGAGTTTCTGAATTTCAGAATTTCTCATTATAAAAAATCGGTCAAAAAGAAAGGCCGTGAAAATGATTTTTTCAAAACTAGAGGTTTAAAGAAGAAACGCAAAGAAAGAATAAGATGGAAGACGAATTTTTGAAAACATCTAAAGTAAGTCGGGAGCAATTCTATTTAAGCGCATTTTCGGACTAAGTAAAATTTAAGGGTTTACATTCCTTTTAGATTTTCCGGATTTGGCATTTTCCGAAAATGAAAATTTCACGAATCAAAGATTACAAATTATCTTACTCCAACCTTTAGTTTCATTCAAACTAAAAGGGGCGACTCTAAAATGGCCAATAAGAAATTCATTCCATAATTTGGGCTTAAATTTTCTTAAATCCAATGCAACTTAAAACCCAAGAATTTATTTAAAAATCGACCGAACCCAAAGGGTTTTGCGCTCATAATTAAAGTAAGCCTCCATCTTTAAGGATACCCCTTACAATTTTCCATTGAACTACGACTCCCGATTCGAATCGTCATTTCAAATATTCGGTTCTAGAAGATCAGCAGGGGACAAGCACTCGAAAGCAAAAATTCTCCAGGTCACGTGACCTTCACGAGTATTATTTTAAATAAATAGAATCGTTTGATAATCCCTAAAACCTGGAATGAGCAGAAATATTGGGCACTAGTTAAGATTTATGTTACCGTTAATGCGAACTTTTTCTTGGCTTGATTTGGGTGGGTCAAAAGTTATTTACCATTGGTCGAGAAAAATATAATTTTCACCAAAATTTCCAAACTTATTTTTTTGTTTTCTCTATACTCTAGATGTGTTCTAGAGGTCCTAAAACCCCCCTTTCGCCAGAAAAAACCACGTGAAGCAAAGAAAAAATCGATTTTTCGACTCGAAAACTCGAAAATCGGAAATTTTCACCAGCCCATTACTCATCCTTATCGATGAGTCAGCATGATGAATCATACCTCATTAGATAGCTCAGAGTCTGAACTTGTACGGACCGTTGAGAAACCGGTGCGGACTTCAACCGGTTGGTCACACGGTAAGGTTGAAAGTTGGTCAATTTTCCGAAATTTCAAAAAATGCCCATCTTCAAGCGATGATTACTCATACTTCCTGATCACTAATTTTGGCCAGTATATGGCCACTTATGGTCGACTTTGGTCAAGTTTGGCCGGAGGACCCCGGAGGACCTCCCTGGTGGAAGACCATCCGCTGGAAGACCAATACTTAGTATTTCAATATATGGCTGTGCTCGGCCAATTAATGGCCACGTATGGTCAAATTTGGTCTCGTTAGGCCGAAAGTCCTCCGGAGGACCTCCCTGGTGGAAGACAATCTGCTGGAAGTCCAAAATTAAATAATGAAATAAAATGCTTGCTGGGCTAAGAATTGAAATCTTCGGCAAACTCTGGTCACGAGAACATTAGAATCATATTTTGCGACTGTTCTAAGTTAAAAAAACATTTATTTCGACAAGAAGAAAAATCAAAACTCATAGAAATAATGAAGTTTGAAAATCGGAGTAGAACTTTGACGTTCCAGGTCGATCATAAGAACTGGTTCCGTTGTTGGTGTATGAAGAATAGCCGGCTCTCTGGAATCGCTGTCAGCATATCCAATTCCATCGGTACTGATCCCAACTACCCAAGAGCTTAGAAAAAGGATGCGCTTTTTTGACTATGTTAAAATCTTATATTTTGAGCTATTAAGGTATCATACATGTTTCTAACATTTCAGCGCAGCCCAACCTATCGCGCTCTGAAAGTGGAGCTATTTTTCTCAAGATTTTTGTCTCTGTTCGAATTGGAGCTTCGGTAGCTATTGTGATAACGGAATCTTCGGAGTTACTAAGTCCATTTGGGAATTTTATGACTGACGCTATTTTGCCAAATTTAGCAAAGGAGATCCAGCCCTATATAAGCTCTGCAAGATACGAATTCCCTTTTTTTTTAAATTTAAATGGATGATTGACGAGATTGAGACTTCACTTAGCCTGCTTTGTGTCGAGCCTAGTCCTTATAGTCCCACAGTTCGGGATGGATTTCAGAGTCTTCACAGATTCGGTTAATTGTTAACTTTGCCTCAGTGAAGATGTTGTTCCGAACTGTAAACTTCCGAGCCGCGGCTATTGAATGAAGTCTACTATCATTTCTCTCATTGAGCTCATCGTCGGATGAAATCGATTCAGGATGCGAATAATTATAAAAATCGTCTTCACAACTGCTCATTTTTGGTTTTCTCGAACTGAAGCTTGAAATTTTTTTTTTGTATTCTATGGCTTTGGCTTCCTTTGTTTCAATAAATGGTCATGGTCAAGGCATTAAAATTCATAAATGCAAAAAAGATTCGGATTAAAAATTTTGAAACTTCAACAAATCGAACAACAGACAAACCAGAGCGATAAAGATTAAATGTGAAAAAGAAATTCGAAATTTCTGAAACAAATAAATTAAGCTCGCTGTCATAAGGATATGATTTGATGCATGTTTTTCCAAAATTAAGAATCGAGCGCTAGAATTGACGTCAATGCAAATTGCGCGCTTTGTACAAAAAAATGGATCGCCACGATTGCTTGATTTTAAATTTATGAAAAACTGTAACGGTGCCAAAAAATTATCAATTAGTCGGGTATAAAAGGGTGACGGCTGATTTCTATCTTCATCATTCTAGCAATGGGGCTTAAAGCAATCATTTTCATATTGCTGCTTGCCTCCATCTATCTTATTCAACGTGACAATTTCCGTATAGTTAGAGAAACTTACAAAGAAATTTTTGAAAAAGAGAAACCAAATCAGCGAAGTCGAAGAGAAATTGATGACGAAGACTACGCAGAATGGCTTGCCGTTAGCTCAACACATCCAGCTCCTAGCGAAAAATCACCAAAACCTCATAAGATTCTTCTATCAAATCAATTTTCGCTCAATGGCACGGTTTCAAATCACAAAATTTATACATTTAGGGAAGGTTCGATATCATTTAAATTGAAGTTTTTTCTTTTTGAGAAAAGACAGGAAATTTCAAAAATCGTTTATTCATCGATATTGAACTCTAAGAAGTGCTTTACATTCATTTGCATTAAAAATGAAAATTGACACTCCTATACCTGAGACGTCGAAAAATGATGAAAAGGTTTGTTATTTCTGTTGATATAACGTGCTACCTGAATTTTTAGCTTCTAAAAATACCAACTCTACTCTCAATCATCAGCGAAAAACCCGCGATTTTGGCGAGCTTCTTATTTCAGCGAACTGAAGATGGTTTAAAACACTGCGCACTCAATACTGGTATTCCATCAGATGTTTACAAACGCGTTCTCAGAATGATTATGGTGGAAAAATGCGCAAAGGTTACTCATGACTATAAACCTTCTCTTATAAGATTAAGATGAATGATTTTGAAAAAACAATACACGAGTCGATTAGAACTAATATGGTTGACCCATCTGATCCATGTGTCGCGGCTTTGATTCACGCAGTGGAAAAGACTCTTAGAAGTTTAAGCCGTGAACATCGTGCTTTGCCAGAAAATTTCCAGGATTTTGTTACTTCAGGATCAGGGCGGAAAAATCCTTTAAAAACAATGATCAAAAATAAGAAAATTTTTCAAGCTCTTTCAGCACTTTACAATTATCAAAGTCATTCAAGTTATTGTGCGACGATCTTCAACTCTTTTCGAAGTTACAAGTCAACTCTAAATATAGATTCGGTCAACAACGAAGACTTTTCCCGAGAAGATGAAGTATAAATAAGTATTTATTTCAAATAATTAACAAAATTAGTACCTCGGACTCACTACACAGCAACTCAAGTCTCTCGCTTTGCTCATTGATCATTTTGATCATCAACACAGGTCGTGATTAAATAACATTTAAATAATATTTTTATTTAAACTTCATATTTTTAAATCATCACAGACTCCTTCCGAAAATTGTCTTTCGAGAGTTTCTTTTCACGTTTAAAACTGGAAGTCGTCGTCAGAGAAGACATCTCTTTTTATCGGGCAGTAATTACTGGAGAATCTCAAATTTACAGAAAGAAATGAAAGGATTTCAAGCATATGGGTTCATCTCTAATGATTTATTTATTTTATAAGGTTTAATTCATGTTCAACCCATTCAAGATGCTGTTGACTCCGCAATAAAAACAACAAAAACAAGTTTATTCCAAATCACAGGATCGGGTCGACTCGCAGTTAATCTTTATGTTTGTTCTTGATTAAGTTTCATTATTTTTATATTTTGCCACGATCCTTTATCTAGATTCTGTGGAAGCAATTTCATCTTCTCTTGATTTTTTCGAGACGAGATCTGCCGTTCGACGAGGTTATGATGACAAAGAAGCATTTTTCTCCTGTCTTCGACAGCAGGGTCAATTTTGTCATAGCCACTCAAGTTTCCAAAGTTTAAAAAATGTACTTAACTTTAAAAAATAGATTATTTTTATGCATATTAAAAGTTTACTTTTAATAAATTTAATCAAAAAATATTTAAACAAGATAAGACATTTTATGGCACTTTTGTATGCTTTTTGTGTCGGATCGAATCCTTATTCTGAAGACAACTGCATAGGTTGTAAATTGCCTTATTTATTTATATAATAAATCTATTAGATTTGGTGGATTCTGACTTGGTTCGAGTCTCCTATCAGGGTGCATCGATCAGCGAAGAGTAAGAATTCAATTTTCTCGTAAATTTTTAAATTTATTAGTGATAATTCAATGGATGCTATCATTGATCTGGAAATTCAAATTCCTCTAGACTTGAAGGCTTATTACCAAATAAATTTCGAGTATCTGCCGATTCTGACGCGAATGGGAAATTATGGAATAGTCAAGGACAGTTTGAAATTTAATTCAAATTATTTTAATTAAAATCGAAAATCGATAGAAATGTTCTTTGATTTGTTTTTTTTTTTATCAAATTGTACTAAAGGAACCATGCTTGGAGGTAAAAACAATTTATTATCTTTCATTAAAAATTGAAGGACCACATATTTGGAGTTAATGAAACCAAGGAGGGATCAAAGGTGACCAATTTTAAGAAAAAAAAGTAATTATAGAAGCTCTGACAGTTCTCTTTAAATTATTTTAGTTGTCGAACAAGCACTTGTCATGGGTCATTTACCTTCCTTTGTAATGATGCAGACAAAATATACGGATTAAATGAAGATTCTCAGAGTTTGCCAATTTGCTCTCGTCCTCTTATCCAGGTATTTAAAAAACATGATTCCGTTTTTCTCCTTTTTTTATATCATAGACGGAGGTGCATTCATATCACGACAAGACGTGTATTGTGACAACAGAAAATCGTGTTCTTAAAGCCGAGGGAAAAAATCTTGTCAATGTCGCCCAAGAAGATGGAATAACCTGCCTTCCCCATCATAGATCTATTTCTTACAGTGTAGAGTAGGGTCAAAAATCTTCATTCTTAAACATTTTCGGTTTTTATATTTCATCTATCTATGATGATTATCAAGATAATCTGACCCGTTTGCAAAGCCGTTGGTGATATGACCGTTCAAATTCCCTCACAACAGTTTTTGTCTCCAGAAATTTATTTTAGGTAAATCCTTCTTCAGCATTAGACAGATTGCCTTAATTTTACAAAGCTTGGACCTCGCCACACGCTTCGCTTCACAACAAACAAATTATCTACAAACGCTTATTGAGTCAATTGAAGCACCTGAATTCACTTCTTGGTCAACATTTTATGAAAACGGTTAGATTGTTGTAAAATCATAAGATATAAAATATTGATTTAGCCAAAAACATCAGTGTTTTCTCGCCGAATCAAATCTTCAGTTTTCTTGAAAAAGGGACGAATAGTGCGCTTCATGCTCTTTTTCCTTCATTCGGCGACTCATTTCTCTCTTCCAAATTTCGGAGCATTTTAGTCAAGATTCTTTCCGTTATCTTGATCTATGTTTTTATAAAGGCTTGGTTCCAAAGATTTAAGACTTGTTTAGAGATAATTAAACAGCAATGGGAAACCAATTTAAAGGAAATCATCAAAAAATTGCTATTTAGTATCATATTCTGAGCTAGATCTTCTGTCAAATTTTCTTTATATTGAATGCTTCTCAAGTAGTTGAAACATGACCTTAATGTGATGTTTTTCAGATGCTTGTGTTTCTCGTTTTTGCTTATCTCTTTTGGCAGTATAAATCGAGGAAAAAAAATGGTCCTATTAGTCTTCGAAGTCTACGAGGTCGAGGAAAATCATATATCGGCCCCTTTTTTCAATTTAATGATCAATGCGCGACATGTGGATACTTACAGACGAGACAGCATAATTGCGTACCCCTGCAGTGTTGCAGAAATATTTATAATAATATAAATTCGTACAATGAGTATGTCTCATAATGAATTTCATTTATTCATAAAATTTTAGTCACATTCTTCATCATCACAGACACGATCTTATTGTCGAAGAACAAGTCTATCCTGATACCAAGAAAAACTTGGATAATTTTAAAAAAATGCACAAAAGGACGGTATTATCATCATATTTAAAAAGAGATATTTTTGTTATTACCTTGACAAAGCCGGCGATTAAATCACTTCTACTGTGATGTCTGCGACGCTGTTTTCAAAAGATCAGCTGTGAATAAAAAGGAACATGAGGCATGCTGCCAGGGGATAATTTGTGAAGTATGTAAAACACGTATTCCGAAAAAATTCTTCGATGATCACAAAAATTTCTGCAAAGAGTAAGTTTTTTTTGTACTCGCATGATCTTACATTATAAGAGCTCATTCACCACTGCAAGAAGAGATATTTCCAGATGAACCTGATGACGATGTATTTCTTGATGATTCCGATATTGAGAAAGGACGAATGGATGTTGACAATAAATCAGATTCATCAGATGACGATATAACAAAAGAGCTTGAGAAAACTGCGATAAACAGCCAAAGATCCGCGCAAAGCAGACTCAAGTAAAAATATGCAACTAGGTTAAAATCACGATTGAACTAGAAAAAAAATTCGAGAATCAACGAACTCATTGACTGGCGAATACGACGTCCAAGCATCGTCTCTAAATATGAATGTGGAGCTTAAAAGAAAGAAAATTCAAGATTTGAATCTTACGATTGAAGAGCTTTCGTATGCCGGTCTTATTCCATTCGATCGAATCATGGAGCAAATGGACAATCTATTTGAGGCACATGGAAATTTGGCTACACGAATCGTTTTAGCAACCGCATTTGGAAATCAAACAGAAGATTCTCAGAAATATCTTCTGAAATTTATAAAAGAAGATTCTGAATTCTATTTGAGGTTTACGCCTATCCTTAAAAATTATAAGTTAAAATTAAGCAAATATCGGATTAAACGAGCAATCGAAGATTCCAATTCTTTAAAGAACAATCAACCGATTGAGCGTCTTAACAGGGCCGAAAAAGTTCCTGAAGAGCTTCAAATGAAAATATTCATTGCTTGGCTTGAGGCTTCAGGAAAGAAAGCAAACATTCTCCATCTTTTCAATTTTGGAGTAATTTTGTTGCCTTTAAAAGTTCCAATTCCAAGAGGAAGAACATCTCTTAAGAAAATAAGTCTCCTGAGTAGGCCCGAAAAGCAGATTCTTCGAACAGTTGGCTTTACAGAACATGTGAAGGAAAAGACGAAAGAGGTGTATGCTGAGACAACCCAGGAAGGGATAATGCTTCTTTTTTTATTTTATATTGAACAATATCTTTTCAATCAAATCAATTTGGCTGATCCTATTTTCAGTAGATTTTTTTCTGGACCTATTTTTCAAATCGATTTTTAAGGGTGTCAGGGGCCTTCCGGCCCCTTCAAACCCTGATAAAAACCCGGCCCGGGACCCAGGCTTTCTTTTGGTCCAAGAAGACACCCTTAATTATTATTCTAACACCCTTAAAAATCGGTTTGAAAAATAGGTCCAGAAAAAAATCTACTGAAAATAGGACTTGCCAATCAATTTTTATCCAAGAAAAGTATATTTGCGTAGCGACAAAAAAAGAATGCATTCAGAAAATACAAGAAAGTGTCTGTGAAGAGCTTTCGCAGTATCTTTGCGTAAAGTATAAACCGTTCTTCATTTTTTTCAAAAGGTACAATCTCATAACAGATTTGTTAATAAATTTAAAGTGAGCATGGATTCTGGAAAGATCAATGCTTATGCGAATGGTTTCTTAAGGGTAAAACATCAAATCGGAGCGGCGCGCCACGCTGGATCAGCGCCCCGCCGTGACCTACTTTTCAAAGGGCCTTAACCTCTGAACGGATGAACTTTTTTCAAATTTTGTTTTGGATTAAGATAATTGAAGCCTTATCTCGTCGCTTACTGAAAATAAGCGAAGTCGTAAACTTAGAAATGGAAAAAACTGACATAAGTCATTCTAAGGATCATATAAAATTCTAGAGACCTTCAAAATTCGATCTGAGACAACGAACATTTAGTTCAAACGAAGTTCGTATAAAAATTGTGAGAGGAGATTGATTTTAACCAACTTATGTCAGTTTCTCCCACTTTTTAGTAAACGATTTCGCTTATTTTCAGTATGCAAAGAGGTAAGGCTTTAATTTTGTCAATCCAAAAGAAAGTTTTAAAAAAAGTTCATCCGTTCAGAAGTAACGGCCCTTTGAAAATAAGGTCACGGCGGGGCGCTGATCCAGCGTGGCGCGCCGCTCCGATTTGATGTTTTTCCCTTAAGTTTTAAAAAATTTGAATTGGTAAAATCAACATAAAAATGCGTGAATTGCTTCCAATCAAGAATAAAGGTAAAGATTCATATTAACCATATAATTTAATCTTATATCGAATAATTAAGCCGAAAACATACGAGTCAGTCACTATAGACAAGAATCAGAAACAAAAAAAAGAATTGTGCATGTCCCGAAGGGATCGCCAGAAGCTCTCTTCACGTATGAAGAATCGTATCAATTTATCTTGAAGACAATTATAACAGGTATTTTATGAAAAAATGAAAATTAGATTCTTAAAATTTGATAATAAGCTCTACAGTCGATTTAAAAAAAATTTAAAGGAGCATACCATTTTCCCGATAAGTCAATTGTACGCCTCGCAGATTTAAAGGCGACGGCGATCGCTCCGAGAAACGTGAACAGAAATATGCTTTATCAAAGGGTCTTAAATCTTTTTAGTGGGTAAAATTAACTTAAAATACATTTTGTTTTAAAATTTAAAACCCTTTGAAAAGTGTGAGCTGGATTATGGGCTTGGCGTTTAAGATAAGCTGACTTTATCGAATTTGAGTTTTCTTAGGCTGATTATCCGCCCTTTTCAGAACAAATTTTTCCATCACAAGGGCGAAAAAGACTCAATCAAATCATCTTGCAGCACCATCTGTCTCCAACCTTTCGGCAATTTTCTATTTCTACGATCTTAAAAGTGACAGCTGGAAACGACTTCTTGTGTCTGCACTAAGGAAAAACTATGAAATACAAAGGAAAATAAGGACGATTATCATTAACTTTGAATAACTTAATCATATTTTATCAAAGCGAGACAAAATCCTATTATGATACAGTTAGAACAATTTTGCATGGAATCGACATCATAGTTGCTGACAAAGAAATAAGAACAATTTACAAGTATAGCTATATTTTTTATTTATTAATGTTTTTGAAGCCACATCATCATCAATGTGGATAATTGCAGAAGAGAGTTCAAGGTCGAGTTATAATAATAATGATAATTTATCAATTTTTTGAAATTATTTTTATAAACTCTCAAAGAATAGATGGGGTCTACCATCCATGAAGGCTCTTCCTCATCCTGTTGTGGCTATTTTTAAAGCTGCTTTACGACCGGATTCATAAAAATGAGTGTAGATATAACCATATATTAAGAGTTTACAATTATGAATCATTTTAAGATGGAAAATCGCTTATTGTTAAGGGTCCTTCGATACAAATTCAAATATAATTACAAATTTAATTATTTGATTTTATGATTCTCTGTTATAACGTATTCGTAAGGACCATTGATAAGACTCTTTTCATTCTTTTGTTCCAGGATTGTAATTAAAGAACTTATGAATATCATTTATGAGTTTTATTTAAATAATTAGTCTTTAAGAAAGACTATTTAATTTAAAGTAGCGACTGCAAAAGAGCTCAACAGATTGGAAAGAGGTTACACACTACAAATGCTTATTGAAGAATTAATATTGAAAGAGCAAAGGGCATTTCTCCAGCGTCAAAAAATAACGTCAATCCTTTCAGGCAAGGGATAACGAAACATGCTCATTGTATTTACGTCTTGCTTATTATCCCTAAAATAGACGTTATTTTTTAAATCTCGATATTGAAAAATTCGATATGAAATACGAAATCAGTGAAGGAACACAAAGCAACGATGCAAGAATGATCGCGTTAGATAAAGAAAATAATCGGCTAAAATTAACGAACCACTGGGGT